TAGTTAAACAAAAAATAGCGTACCATACGTTTAATGTTTTTGTTTTTTATTTGAAAACAGACAAAAAGTTAACAAAAAAAATATCAAACAAAAAAGAAGATGTATGGTACGATTTTTCGTTTAACTAAAATGATCAATAAAATAAAACAAATTAATTAGTAAAATAAAATAAGTCAAACTAAGAGTAAGTGCAACAGAAAAAGAGAACAATCCACAAAAAAACGAATCCAAAGGTCAATTAGTTTTTTTTACTTCATTTGATGGAAAAAATAAAATATAGCATAAAAAATGATAAAAAAACAAAAAAATAAGATAAAACCATATCAAAAAAATAAAAATGTAAAACAAACAAAAGAAATAAGAGAGTTCTTAAAAGAATAGATTTAAAAAACATACGAAACAAAAGTTCACAAAAAAAATCTAAACAAACAAACAATTTAAAAATATCAAGAAAAAAGATAAAAAAGACAAACCACAAAAAACAAATAAGATCGAAAAAGCGGGAAACAAAAAAAATTTAAAAAAATGTAAAAATTGAAACAAAATTGAAACAAAATGTAAAAAGACAAACAACAAAAAATTAAATAAATTGAAACAAAAAAGAGGGAGTTCCTCACCCTGGCAATTTTTTTTGTTTCAAAAAAAATCGTACCTGTTTTTTTGTTGTTTGTTTCAATATTGTTTCAAAAAAAAAATGTACGATTTCTTTTTGTTTAACTAAAATGTTCAATAAATTAAATCTCACTCCCTCTTCATTCCTTTATGAAAATTAAATCAAAATTAAGTGTCCCAACTTCTACCCAAATTTCTTATTCTGTTCTAAAAGATTCTTCTCATTTGTTATTCACATTAACAGTCAAACTATAAATTTCAGTAATGGTACCTGAACTTTCACTGGAATTTCAAAATAGTACCTAAACTTTTAATCCTTTCACAAAAGTACCTAAACTTACATTATCATTTCACTAAGAGTCCATTTATCAGTTTCCATCTATCCATCATATCATACTTTTACCCGTCACATCAAAGGACATTTTTGGAAATTCAATACCAAAATACACTCTCTTAAATCCCTCCTAAAAAGCAAATGTCTCATGTTTCACGGGACGGAGGGAGTATAAAATTCTAATTTAGCCCAAATGACCGGAAGTTAACCTGGAAACGGGTAAATGGACTTTTTGTGAAAAGATTATGTAAATTCAGGTACTTTTGTGAAAGGATTTAAAGTTTAGGTGTAACTTTGAAATTCCAGTGAAAATTCAGGTACCATTATTAAAATTTATCCTCATTTCTTGTCATGTACAACTTTTGATGTAGTTTTAAAATATATAAATTTTATTTTTTCAATTCTACCGCTATATTCCAATCAATTCAATCCAAAATAAAATCGACCAGACCTCATAAATAGAAAACGGAAAGAACATTTTAGGACGAAGGAAGTATCAATTTCTCTCTTCTCCACCTTTTCTTAAAGAACCAGCAACCCAAAAAATGTAAAAAAAAATAAATAAATAAAATAAATTTATGGCAGGGCTCAGCGGACGTCTGAAATGGACGCCGCCGCTTTCATCGTGTCGCGCCCAATGCCTGGCGCCCGGTGCGAATTCCATCCCGGCTGGTCTTCCTGTAGTGCATCCCCGCCGCGCGCCCCGCCCCAACCAGCTTGCGGTGCGCCAGTTTTTTCTTTATGCATTTAGATGCCCTGAAATTTTATAGCAGGCCCTGTATAAGAATTTCTTACTCTTTGCCTTCAAATATAGTCTTCAAATTTCGATTCGATTTACTTGGTCTAAAAATTATTTCTTGTTGCCCGTTACTGACTAAAATTGTTTTTAAATTATTTTATATAAAAAGTGGTATAAAATTAAAAAATAAAAATTAAGTACATAATTAAAAGCTACATTAAAATATTTACAAAACTAGAGGTGACATGATTATACTATTTTATCAAATGGATGGCGAAAATAGGTGAAGAAAGTGAATAAAGTTTGACTATGTAAATAATGAAACGAGAAGATAATTTTTAAACACAAGAAGTATTCGATTATGCGTGTAAAATTAATAAACAAAATTCATATATTTAAAAACTGAAATCTCGTATGGATATCAATATTACCCAAATAAAACCAATATGTGCAATTCAAACGGATCAAAAAAGCAAGCACACCACGAAGATGCTATAGCACTTGTTGTAGAAATATTATTAGAACTAAACTTGAATGATTTGATTACACATAAATCCGCTATTTATAATAGCTACAAGACTATGACCTAATTACGAGCCCAACAAGAATGAGCCCGTTAACGACAAACCCTACTACATTTCTTAACACTCCCCCTCAAGTTGAGCATGAGATTAAGGAATGCACAACTTGGACAATTAAAACAAAACTAAGACTAGAAAAATTGATAAAGAACTTGAACTTGATCTGCTGTGACAACAACGAACGAAGGTGACCGGCCCTGCAAACGAACAATAAATTTTGATGACGAATGACTCCCACGCGGTGACACGGGGACGACTAACAGACATCCCAAACTTGGAGGCCGTGTTGCCGGACTGAGGCGCGACTATGCGACCAACCTCACAAATTGATATGTCGGTCTGAGGCGCGACTATGCGACCAACCTCACAAACAAATATTCCGAACATACAGTTGGTTGCACTTAAACATACCAAATAGCAACCAAAAACAATGTCGCCAAAAACGTCATCAAATTTCGATGGACGGTGGAGTGAACATAAAAACCTTCTTCCGTGGAGTACAAATAAAAAAAAATCTGGAATCCTGAAAACAAATCTGGCTTGGGAATCCTTAGATTGGCAGAGACAAATGGGACTCCGACTGTGGCACTGGACTTGGATCGACAATCAGTGGCGGTGGATTTTGGTAAATGAACGAGGGTGACGGCGTCATCGCCGGACAAACTACGGTGGCGGAAGAAGCTAGAGTGAACTAGGGTTTCACGCCCTTTCAGCGCAGCGAGATTTGATGGTGATGCCGCCGTCGCTGGACAAACCGCAAGCGACGGCGGCGGCGGAAGCGGCAAACTAGAGGCAACTAGGATTTTAGGTTTTCCCAAGATTTTGCTCCGATACCATGTAGAAATATTATTAGAACTAAACTTTGATGAATTGATTACACATAAATCCGCTATTTATAATAGCTACAAGACTATGACCTAATTACGAGCCCAACAAGAATGAGCCCGTTAACGACAAACCCTACTACATTCCTTAACACTTGTCATTGGCACAAAAGAAAAACAAGGTGCCATACCCTTTTTTATGTCACAATAACGTACGAAGATAAAATAAAGTAGTAAATATTTACATAATTTAGAACAAATTCTCCTATATATGCAAGGCCCATGTTCATATAATAAATCTTCACTAAATCACATTTTAGAGCAAATTCTCCTATATATGCAAGGCCAATGTTCATATAATAAATCTTCACTAAATCATTGTAAAAGGTTACACTAATAAATCACAATAGAACATATAATAAATCTTCACTAAATCATTGTAAAAGGTGGGTTGGGCCGAGGAGGGGTGGTGAGCCGAGGGGAGGGAGGGGGTAGGTTGGGCCGTAGGGAGGGATTGGTTTGCCGGGAGTGGGTTTGGTGGGTGGGTTAGGGGGTTGGGTCCTTCATCCGTGGTGTCCAAAAATTGGAGGTCGGGAGGGGTGAGAGGGTGGGCATAAGGAAAGGTGTGTTCATCGAAAACAACGTGGCGAGAGACAATGATTTTGTTCGTTTGAAGGTCTAGACATCGATATCCACGTTGATTTGAGGGGTAGCCGAGGAAGACGCAACGGGAAGAGCGGGGTGCAAGTTTATGTGGGGCGGTGGCGGAGATGTTCGGGTAGAAAAGACAACCGAAAACGCAAAGATGGGAGTAGTGTGGGGGGGGGGGAGTTGTAGAGGACGGAGAGAGGGGTGTGGTTGTGTAGAGTAGTGGTGGGAAGGATATTG